CGCCCTTCTTTCTCCGCGCTCACTGTTGTCGCCCTGTTGATGACGTCAGCGACGCGGTTTAATCGGGCGTGGCTTAGTCGAGCACGGTTTTGTTGTGCCACGAAACAAAGCAACTTCAACTTTTTTTCTCAAGCTAAGGCAGCCAAATAATGTACAGGTAGTCCTCGACTTACAACTATTAGTTTAGCAACCATTCGCAGTTACAACAAGTACTGAGAAAAGTGATTTATAGATGGTCCTTGACCCTTCCCAGCCAGCTTCTGATAAGCGAAGTCAGTGGGGGAAACCAGATTTGCTTAACGATCATGTGATTCACTTAACAACTGCAAAAGTAAAATTGGGTAAAACTCAGTGAACAACTGCCTCGCTTAGCCACAGAAACTCTGGTGTGAATTGTAGTTGTAAGTCGAGGACTACCTGTAGAGCTTAGAAATAGGCACGAAGCTAATCTGTGCCTATGAATTAAAGGAGAAGCAGCTTCTTTACATGCAGCCAGCCAGCTTACTACCGGTGGGTGTATTCATGGTGGGAAGGAAGACTCAACATAGTCATCTCCACAACACATAGTTAGTACCAAATACCCCAGCATTTCTTAGCCAGGAGGGCCTGCTGACTGGGCAATTGTGGGAGATGGTTGAAGAACTGAAAGAGTTGCAAAACCCTGGGAGTGGCAAGAGTTCTGAAGAGTGCCACCACAGGAATTACTGCACTCTCGTAGAAACTGATGGGAGTTTCTTTCGATATTTTTTTTGGATCCAGAGTACTGCCTTGGATGCCATGGAGCGAGGGCTGGACGTTCACGTCGTGGTGGATGCTTGTTCTTCTCGCAGGTGATCAGTGGGATGTATGGGGAGAAAAGTCCAACATCACCCCTTCTATTTTCCTCATGTCTTCCATTGGGTTTTTCTCTTTCTGTCTCCCGTTCTTAGCCAGGTGGACAGGATCATAGCTCTGTCCAGACTGCGTCAGAGCGGGGCCTTCCTAACCACCAGCGAGGGGCTTATCCTGCAGCTTGTCCAGGATGCGGCCCACCCGCGTTTCCGAGAGGTAAATCTCTAAATTTGCATGCATCCAAGCTGCTGGCTTCATTCACCTACTTCAGTTGACTCTCTATAAATGGCGAAGCAGCCATCTATGGTGGTATCTCAGCCACCTTTACAGAAGTAAGCAAGCTAGGCCTGTTTCTTTCTCTCTCTTTTTTTTTTTATGGGGTAATAAAACTACGAAACCCATAGTTGCTTGGTCAAGATCAGCAATATCATGAGTAGGTGATGGGAGGAGAACATATCCTTCTTGTACGTTATTCTGTTGTGTCTCATCTCCTCATGTGCTCACTTGCATAGAGGAGGAGAATGCTGCAACTAGTTAGCAGAATTCCTAGAAAAGCCTAGTGTGGGGCCACTCTAGGCTCTTGTCTCTATCTAACTGTCAGGCAATCTGGTTGACCAAATGAGGCCAGCTGATCAAAGCAATGTGAACAAACCAGTTTTGTGTCTCCACCCAAGGGAATGTGGTCTGGCAGAGTTAAACCAACCTTTGCCTGGGAGCACATTTTTGGAGAAAATAAGAACTACACTCATGTTTCAATAGACTATTAAGCCACTTTCCAGAAACTGGATAGCACTAGGACTGAAACTATCAGACTTATTTTAAATGTAAAAGTATATTCCTTCAGTCACAATTAACATTACAGTTTGGTGAGAACTTCTGGGAGGGTTCTGGTGAAATCCATGTTCGGGGATCTTGTGAATTGCTGCTGGCTTGAAAGAAAGCAAGTCAGATAACTTCCGGATGATTCTCCAGCTGTTCTCCCTCCCCCCTTTTCTTTTTCAGATTCAGAAATTGATTATGGATCCTGCCCCTGACAGTGGTCTTCTGCCCCTCATAAAAGTGCCAAATCCCCTTTTCAGTTAGCCCAGCTGCTTCAAGATTGATCTTCTTCTAAAGCACCTTCAGCCATTTCCTCTGATGTCCTTGTCCTTCTCAGTGGGAATGATTCTTCAAGTTGACTTTAAAGAGGAAAATGATGAACTATAAATCTAACTGAGAAGCTGCATCAAAACTGTGATCTTTCTATAGTTATGCAATGAAATGGTTGAAAGAAGGCTAGTAATATTTTTGACCTGGTCTTTTTTAATTAAGAAACATCAATTCTGCCTCCTTAGCTCATGATGTGAATCTTGACAATGTGTACAAATATATATTTAATTTGCACATTTTATTGTTCTCTTGTGAGAGTGTATTAATAATACCTGGAATTGCTTTATGTCTATGGAGATTCTCAGTCATCCAGATCATGTTTGTCCCAAAGGTGCTTTTTCAAAAGGCAACTGGGCTTTGTTTTTCCTTGAAGACTTTTCACTTCTCATCCCAGAAGCTTCTTCAGTTCTGACTGCTGAACAATCTTCTCGGATGAAGAGCGAAAGGTCTTCAAGGAAAAACAGCCCAGTTGTCTTTTGAAAAAGCACCTTTGCATTTTACACTTTGGTGCAGATTTAGGAAACAAGCAGGAAAGTAAGCAGGGGCTGGATACACGATGGATACATGATGCTTTTTTGAATAAACTACAGTTTTGAAGTGGTTTTGGTTAACTGCATTTAACGTAGTTCATACAACATGTAATCTAAGCATCATGATTCAAGTCTGATGTATGAATCCAGTTTATTTCTATGGACAGAAAGACAAGTACAGTTCATCTGGTGACCATTCAGAGTTTACAATGGCACCGAAAAAAGTAACATATGACCATTTTGAACTTATGACCAATGCAACATCCCTGTGGTTATGTGATCAAAATTCAGATGCTTGGCAGTTGCAATGCCCCTGGGTCTTGTGATCATCTTTTGCAAACTTCTGACAAGCAAAGTCAATAGGGAATGCAGATTCACTTAATAACAGTTTCACTAACAACTGCAATGACTCATTTAACAACTGTGGCAAGAAAGGTCATAAAATGGGGCAAAATTAACTAAGCAAATGCCTCAGTGGCATACATTTTGGGCTCAATTGTGGTCATAAGTCAAGGACTACCGGTAGCTGTGCACAGGAAAACAGAATTTGTACAGGTAATCATACAATCCGAAAAAGTCCTCCCTTCCATAACTTTACTCATAATCATGAAAGCTAAAAATGTGGGTTTATTTAAAAACACATCCTCACAATTTCATGTTAGCCTTGTGATTCATGTTCTGTTCAACACAGGGAAATGTGTATTTTGAGACCCTAACAATTACCAAATGTTCAATAAGCCCCAGCTGTATTTTTTAAAAAAAAGCTTACTAACTTCAGGTACAGAAATTAATAAGTTACGAAGTTTCCCTTCATTTCCTGACAAATTTCAACTGTTGATTTCTGGACACCAAAAGCATAACATTAATGGATGCTTTCAATTGTGGAATAAAATGGTGATTGTTTCACTCTCCAGGCTAACGTTTTGACTCTAGTCTGAAACAACATTTTTCAACCTTAGCAACTTTTAAGATGTGTGGGCTGTTCAATTCTCAGAAGCCAGCAGGCTGGGGAATTCTGGGAATTGAAGTCCAGGTATCATAAAGTTGCTAAGGTTGAGGAACCCTGTTCTTAAGTCACATTTGATTTACATAAAATCTGTCCAAGCCAAGCATCACCATGGGATGTCAATGGTGGTTCTCAGTCATCCAGGTCATGGTTGTTCCAAAGATGCTTTTTCAAAAGGTAACTGGATTTAGACCAGGAGTCCCCAAACTTGGCAACGTTAAGACTTGTGGACTTCAACTCCCAGAATTCTCCAGCCAGCTCTGTTGGCTGGAGAATTCTGGGAGTTAAAGTCCACAAGTCTTAAAGTTGCCAAGTTTGAAGATCTCTGACTTAGACGTTTCGCTTCTCATCCAGAAAGCTTCTTCAGCTCTGACAGGATAGTGGGGAACAGAAAGATTTATACTTGCAGACAAGAACCTGCAAGGAATACAAATCCTTCCATTCCCCACCATCCTGCCAGAGCTGAAGAAGCTTCTTGGTTGAGAAGCAAAATGTCTTCAAAAGAAAAAAAAAAACTAGAAAGTCCAGTTGCCTCTTGAAAAAGCACCTTTGGGTCATGGCCATGGGAAAAGCACATTATTCTGACAGGAAAGGCTTCCAAGAAATCTATGCGTCCTTCATTCCATGGTGAGCAGGGAAAGAAATAATGTTTGCTTCTGTCCCTGTTGTTGAGACTGCTTTAACTGACAGCTTCAGTCAGAGCAAAACTCTCTGCACCTCTAGAGCAGTGTTTCTCAACCTTGGCAACTTGAAGATGTCCGGACTTCAACTCCCAGAATTCCCCAGCCAGCATT